TTTGGAATTGATTGTAATTGATGTAAAATATTGTATTGAAAAATCCTTTAAACACATGCATTGTTTAATTCTTTATTATTATAGAATAAATAATTATTTTCTACTTGATTAGAGTTATATAATTGATAAATACATTTTTCATGTTAATATAAATTGTAATTTTTAAGATAACCCTTTTAAAGATTGGAATATATCTTAAATTTCCCTTTTGTGTTCCTCAAAATTTATATCATGTATTGATCAAAACCAATTGATAATTTTATAAATATATTACTTATAAAGTTTAAATATTTTTCTCCAATTTATTCATTAGTTTTGTTATGAATTCTTAATATTTTTTTGGTAATTTGAAGGGAACTAGAATGTATAACTTCCAATGATGGAAAATTACAATTCACTTTTATATAATGAATTTTAATTTAAGAAGAATGGATCTAAATTTTTTGGTTCATCACAAATTGTGCTAATTAAACAGAAAATTTTAAATGCTTATGAATTCAAATAATATTTTATTTGAAGAAGGTAAGCTTTTATAAGTAATATTCTTGCCTTGATATTAATTTCTCTTTAGTACCATCTTGAAGATAAAAGTGTTCTGGATCTATTTAAAGATTCTTGAAAGTTGCTCCTTTGGATGTATGTATAAACTCTCATACTATTTATGAATAAAAACTGAATGTTAACACTATTAATTATAACTTTTAATACCAATCTATAAATAATTATCAATTAAGTAAATCTATCATAATATACTATATGATTTAAAAAGAATGATGTTGTGTTCATTTAATTTAAATTTTCTTTACATTATTTTTTCACCCCTTATTTTTGCCTCTTTAATATATTTCCATATAAAGAGAAGTAGACTGAGTTTAATGAATAATTATGATAATGTAATCGGGGTTTCGATTATCCTGTTTTGAAATCCCATAAACGGATAGAGTTTTCATAACTACCAGAAGCTAATGCATTTCCATCAGGAGAAAAACAGACTGAGTAGACATAATTCTCTTGATTAATTCTTAAAAAAATATGCTTGACGATTTGGCACAAAATTTCAGAAATACTTTCAGTTAATTTTACTTATTAAATATTGTAAATAAAATCTTTTGTTTTTGTTTATAAAACATAATCTCAATTCTCAATATTTTATTCTCAAAGTTGATTTTAATAAAATATTATTTATTGAAAATAATTCAATTATTCATAAATTCTAAAAAAAATTTTTACTCATATAAGTTCTCCTATGACAGAAAATTATTATTATATAAATGAATATAGATAATCAAAAAGCGTAAAAGGCTTATATTTTAATGATTGACATATGATAATGGTCTAAACTATTCCCTCCTCTGTTATAAAATTTCAATCCGGAAACCAATTAATCAGATAATTTTGCAAGATGTATTTCAAGCTTGGGCATTACCATCATAAATGACTTTTTCAGTCATCCTATCAGCTGTTACTGTTAATACTTGTATGTCTGTTTGTCTATCATCAATATCCCACATCCAAAACCTTACAGTATTAATTTCGTATGCTTATAAAAATTCCACAATTATTGATTCGCCAAGTCTGGCAACAACATGTCCTTAATGGATTTGCATCTGGAGGGTAGTAATACAGTAAATTTCTTAAAGGGCTATTTTCAATACCTGGTGTCCAAAAAATCGTTTTTCTTGCTGAAGACAGTAGTGCTCCATTAAATTATGAAGCTATAAGCAAAAAAGAAGACTTGTTTATAAATCTTTGTAATTTCCCCGAATAATAGATGCTTCTCTTAAAATATAAAGATCTTTTAAGAAAATTTTGCATTAGCATCAGCAGCTGGTAAAGGAGCAAAATCTAAGTACTCAAATAAAAAAAACAAAAGCAATTTCATTAAAAATATTAATCAACTAAAATGATATAATGATTTAGAATTAAGACTGTTTGGAAAAATAATATCTTGTGGAGGTATAAAATTTTTAAAGTAGAAAATAATACTTTTTTTTGGATTCTGTGAAACTTATGCTTTTCATATATTTAAATAAAGTCAATAGTATTATTTGGATTTATTACCATAATTATTAAATTCAACTTCTTCGTGATGAATATTTACAAAGCACAAAGAGAAGTTGAATATAAATTCAGATATAATTCATTATTGACATTCCACCTAAAGTTTAATCTCTAAATATGTTTATAAACACCTTAAAGCCTCTTAAACTTCAAAATTGAATTATTAATCATGATAATTTGGCTTCTCTGCAATTATTTCTCTCTATAATCATGATATACATTTAATTAATTGTTCAGAAAGTCAGAGCAAAATCAACTTGAGAATAAATACATCATTAAAAAAGTTGCATTAAATAGAAAATTGAGGAAATTTATATCTTCAATAAAATTAAAGCATAAGTTACAAATCTAAAATAGTTTAGTTGATTTAATGAATGTTAGATAGAAGGAAGTGTATAAAAATGAAATCCATTTCAGTTTTACAATTTTTGATTCTTAACGATAACATAATTCTAAATAATGGTAAGCAATGTTCAGTTAATAAATTGGGATTGCTTAGTAAGTTCTTGAACTGAGACCAAAAATGAAATAAAATATTATTAGGATATTAATAAACAAGATATTAATTGTGTGTGATAATACATCGCAATCTTTATTTTATATAATACAAAAATACTCTGTCTTTTTATAATGTTTCATAGTTAATGAAATAAGATTGGACTCTTTTTTTTAGATCTATTTATTTCCAATTATACAGTTGCAAACAATATTCTCATTACGTCATTTATACGAGTAACTTGTGATATTTAAAAAATTCTTTTGATTTTTGGTTTTGTGATGGTGGTAAATTGAAAGTAACTTTTCATAAAAGGTGTTAAATTTTAATTAGGAAATTTTACATAAATGGTTAATTGTTGTTGATAATTTAACAAGCAAATTAAGGGTATTATTGAATTACATCTGTATTTGATAAAAGTAATTATTTGGGTATAGCTTCAAATAAGATAAATTAGAAACCTGAGTTTGGGACTTCACAATTTATCAGATTATATATAGTATTAGTTTAAGAAAACATTATTTTTCTATGGAAGATCTAGGCTGATGACTTTTCTTATAATTAAGTACATATAAGTCAATCAATCTAATTATTGAACCTCTGAAAATGAAAGAAAATTACTTATATGAAATTGGAAGTTGATGTGTTTTATTTACAATATGGTCAAAATAACACTTTAATCTAATTTGTGAGCATCTGTTATTTGAAATAAAATATTATGCTTGATTATATATTGATAGTGATATTTGAGAACTTATTAAATTTTTATACCTTTGAAAATTAAATTTTTAATATACAATATTTTCAATTGCTATTGTTATATAGGTTTGAATTATAAAGCATAAATGTTTTATCTATTAATGTGGTATTGAGAATATCAATGACATTATAATATATATAACACAGAAAATTTAGGAGAATTAATGATTTTTGCATTATGAAAATGTTAAATCACATAGTAATAATCAAGTACAAAATATATTTATTGTTTTAGAATATTGATTTCAATCATCAACAAATATTAATAATAATAATTTAATTAAATGAAGTACTCATTAAAAAGCAATAACAATTTCATTTATTATATTATTTTTCTTAAGTTATTAATGCAAATCGAATTAAATCAATGCATTTATTTTCAGTTTCAAAATGATTAAAAATTGCCAAAGCCTAGATATATTTATTATTAGATACATCTAAGAATTAAGAAATTCCATTTAGAGAACCTATGGCACTAGCTAAAATCATATTATCCAAAATGCTAATTGATTCTTATTTTGTCACTCCTTCAACAATTTTCTTTTGATTATGTTTCCCACCAGATTAATAGATAAAATTATCTAAATGAGTTTTTATAGATTTTATCACATTAGAGTGAAAGTAATCAAATGTCTTTATAATTTATTTTTCTTAATTAATTAACCCTTGTACCAAAAATTTTATTTCTGTAAGATCAAAATGCTATAAGTTTATAATTTCCTCAACACATGTTAAATATTAATTATATAGCCAACGATAATGAGCCCCTTAATAATAAAAGAATAATCCTTTTAATGGATGCTATCTCATGTCAAACCACTCTTTGAGACAAGTTTCAGTANTAAATCTTTGTAATTTCCCCGAATAATAGATGCTTCTCTTAAAATATAAAGATCTTTTAAGAAAATTTTGCATTAGCATCAGCAGCTGGTAAAGGAGCAAAATCTAAGTACTCAAATAAAAAAAACAAAAGCAATTTCATTAAAAATATTAATCAACTAAAATGATATAATGATTTAGAATTAAGACTGTTTGGAAAAATAATATCTTGTGGAGGTATAAAATTTTTAAAGTAGAAAATAATACTTTTTTTTGGATTCTGTGAAACTTATGCTTTTCATATATTTAAATAAAGTCAATAGTATTATTTGGATTTATTACCATAATTATTAAATTCAACTTCTTCGTGATGAATATTTACAAAGCACAAAGAGAAGTTGAATATAAATTCAGATATAATTCATTATTGACATTCCACCTAAAGTTTAATCTCTAAATATGTTTATAAACACCTTAAAGCCTCTTAAACTTCAAAATTGAATTATTAATCATGATAATTTGGCTTCTCTGCAATTATTTCTCTCTATAATCATGATATACATTTAATTAATTGTTCAGAAAGTCAGAGCAAAATCAACTTGAGAATAAATACATCATTAAAAAAGTTGCATTAAATAGAAAATTGAGGAAATTTATATCTTCAATAAAATTAAAGCATAAGTTACAAATCTAAAATAGTTTAGTTGATTTAATGAATGTTAGATAGAAGGAAGTGTATAAAAATGAAATCCATTTCAGTTTTACAATTTTTGATTCTTAACGATAACATAATTCTAAATAATGGTAAGCAATGTTCAGTTAATAAATTGGGATTGCTTAGTAAGTTCTTGAACTGAGACCAAAAATGAAATAAAATATTATTAGGATATTAATAAACAAGATATTAATTGTGTGTGATAATACATCGCAATCTTTATTTTATATAATACAAAAATACTCTGTCTTTTTATAATGTTTCATAGTTAATGAAATAAGATTGGACTCTTTTTTTTAGATCTATTTATTTCCAATTATACAGTTGCAAACAATATTCTCATTACGTCATTTATACGAGTAACTTGTGATATTTAAAAAATTCTTTTGATTTTTGGTTTTGTGATGGTGGTAAATTGAAAGTAACTTTTCATAAAAGGTGTTAAATTTTAATTAGGAAATTTTACATAAATGGTTAATTGTTGTTGATAATTTAACAAGCAAATTAAGGGTATTATTGAATTACATCTGTATTTGATAAAAGTAATTATTTGGGTATAGCTTCAAATAAGATAAATTAGAAACCTGAGTTTGGGACTTCACAATTTATCAGATTATATATAGTATTAGTTTAAGAAAACATTATTTTTCTATGGAAGATCTAGGCTGATGACTTTTCTTATAATTAAGTACATATAAGTCAATCAATCTAATTATTGAACCTCTGAAAATGAAAGAAAATTACTTATATGAAATTGGAAGTTGATGTGTTTTATTTACAATATGGTCAAAATAACACTTTAATCTAATTTGTGAGCATCTGTTATTTGAAATAAAATATTATGCTTGATTATATATTGATAGTGATATTTGAGAACTTATTAAATTTTTATACCTTTGAAAATTAAATTTTTAATATACAATATTTTCAATTGCTATTGTTATATAGGTTTGAATTATAAAGCATAAATGTTTTATCTATTAATGTGGTATTGAGAATATCAATGACATTATAATATATATAACACAGAAAATTTAGGAGAATTAATGATTTTTGCATTATGAAAATGTTAAATCACATAGTAATAATCAAGTACAAAATATATTTATTGTTTTAGAATATTGATTTCAATCATCAACAAATATTAATAATAATAATTTAATTAAATGAAGTACTCATTAAAAAGCAATAACAATTTCATTTATTATATTATTTTTCTTAAGTTATTAATGCAAATCGAATTAAATCAATGCATTTATTTTCAGTTTCAAAATGATTAAAAATTGCCAAAGCCTAGATATATTTATTATTAGATACATCTAAGAATTAAGAAATTCCATTTAGAGAACCTATGGCACTAGCTAAAATCATATTATCCAAAATGCTAATTGATTCTTATTTTGTCACTCCTTCAACAATTTTCTTTTGATTATGTTTCCCACCAGATTAATAGATAAAATTATCTAAATGAGTTTTTATAGATTTTATCACATTAGAGTGAAAGTAATCAAATGTCTTTATAATTTATTTTTCTTAATTAATTAACCCTTGTACCAAAAATTTTATTTCTGTAAGATCAAAATGCTATAAGTTTATAATTTCCTCAACACATGTTAAATATTAATNTGAAATAAAATATTATTAGGATATTAATAAACAAGATATTAATTGTGTGTGATAATACATCGCAATCTTTATTTTATATAATACAAAAATACTCTGTCTTTTTATAATGTTTCATAGTTAATGAAATAAGATTGGACTCTTTTTTTTAGATCTATTTATTTCCAATTATACAGTTGCAAACAATATTCTCATTACGTCATTTATACGAGTAACTTGTGATATTTAAAAAATTCTTTTGATTTTTGGTTTTGTGATGGTGGTAAATTGAAAGTAACTTTTCATAAAAGGTGTTAAATTTTAATTAGGAAATTTTACATAAATGGTTAATTGTTGTTGATAATTTAACAAGCAAATTAAGGGTATTATTGAATTACATCTGTATTTGATAAAAGTAATTATTTGGGTATAGCTTCAAATAAGATAAATTAGAAACCTGAGTTTGGGACTTCACAATTTATCAGATTATATATAGTATTAGTTTAAGAAAACATTATTTTTCTATGGAAGATCTAGGCTGATGACTTTTCTTATAATTAAGTACATATAAGTCAATCAATCTAATTATTGAACCTCTGAAAATGAAAGAAAATTACTTATATGAAATTGGAAGTTGATGTGTTTTATTTACAATATGGTCAAAATAACACTTTAATCTAATTTGTGAGCATCTGTTATTTGAAATAAAATATTATGCTTGATTATATATTGATAGTGATATTTGAGAACTTATTAAATTTTTATACCTTTGAAAATTAAATTTTTAATATACAATATTTTCAATTGCTATTGTTATATAGGTTTGAATTATAAAGCATAAATGTTTTATCTATTAATGTGGTATTGAGAATATCAATGACATTATAATATATATAACACAGAAAATTTAGGAGAATTAATGATTTTTGCATTATGAAAATGTTAAATCACATAGTAATAATCAAGTACAAAATATATTTATTGTTTTAGAATATTGATTTCAATCATCAACAAATATTAATAATAATAATTTAATTAAATGAAGTACTCATTAAAAAGCAATAACAATTTCATTTATTATATTATTTTTCTTAAGTTATTAATGCAAATCGAATTAAATCAATGCATTTATTTTCAGTTTCAAAATGATTAAAAATTGCCAAAGCCTAGATATATTTATTATTAGATACATCTAAGAATTAAGAAATTCCATTTAGAGAACCTATGGCACTAGCTAAAATCATATTATCCAAAATGCTAATTGATTCTTATTTTGTCACTCCTTCAACAATTTTCTTTTGATTATGTTTCCCACCAGATTAATAGATAAAATTATCTAAATGAGTTTTTATAGATTTTATCACATTAGAGTGAAAGTAATCAAATGTCTTTATAATTTATTTTTCTTAATTAATTAACCCTTGTACCAAAAATTTTATTTCTGTAAGATCAAAATGCTATAAGTTTATAATTTCCTCAACACATGTTAAATATTAATTATATAGCCAACGATAATGAGCCCCTTAATAATAAAAGAATAATCCTTTTAATGGATGCTATCTCATGTCAAACCACTCTTTGAGACAAGTTTCAGTATCATCAATTAAACGCTAGGCCTACTGTATTTAATTTAAAAATTAAAAGGATTAACATTAAATAAGATAAATTAAAGAAACATAGGGATGGATACTTTTTTAATCAGATGGCAATAGTTTTATGTATCCATCAATTGCCTTTTGAGAACATTACATAATCCAGTTAATAATCAATTTTTTATTTAATCCATTTTTAGTCCCAAGTAGAATATTCAATTAAAAATCTAAAATTTTTAATCAATTTCAGTGATTTCAGATATCATATTAAACTTTAGAGCATAATATGCTGATTATTTCATTTCCTCATTTGAAATTTTTAGTTTTATTATTTCTATATAATTTGAATGATCAATAAAGCAATTTTCAATTTAAAACTAATTATTTTAATTTAATAAATAATTAAAATAAGTTGCATATATCATTTACAAGTAATTTATATGAATTTTATTCTATAATTCCAATTATAGCTCAAAGAGCAAATTAAATTTTGGTAAATCTTTTTCAATATTAATTAAAATTCTTATATGATTTAGTATAGCAGCATTAATGAAATCTTTATTAAACAGATGAATATAATCAACATCATGACTCTCAATAATAAGTTGATCATATACTTAAAACTCAAAATTTTAGAGAGTTGTATTAATAGGATATTCTTAAACCTAAATTAATTCTATTAATTTACTATTTCATTATTGATAATTGAAATAATTGTTCTTTATTACTTTAAACATGCATCTATATATGATAAGGTTTTTTCTGAATACTTTAGTGCATTTTCATAATCTATTAAATTGAGGTGGAATCTACATTTAAGATGAGCCAGAAGAGCATATATAAGAGTGGTTTCTTTATACTCACTTATTCTTAATCTAACTATGATTATTAAAGTTACATATATTATTTTTTTGGATCAATATTTCCGATCATTGCATTAACAACATCTTATATAGATTCAAATAGATGCATCAATCTACAAAGTTATTGCTAATTTTACAACATACTCAAAGTTTCTATCAATATTTCTGATATTAAATAATAATCTTAATGCATCATCAAATTAAATAGTAGATATTAACAATTAAATTTAAGATCTTCAAAATATAAAAAACTGGGTGTATATTCAAACAACCATTTCGAAGGAAATGGCAGGCAAGTATTTTTATTCTTGTAGATATTTTCTAGAATCCTAAGGTCCTACTCAAAGTCGGGATGAATTTTATGAAATATGAATGCTTTAGAATAAAGTAATCTTTATGAGAATTAGTAAACTAAATCAATCATTTCAAATTATTAAAAATATAAATATGAATGAAGCAAGGCCAACACTAAAATTGAACATTCAAAATCTTGGTTAAGATATTCTTTTATCTATAGAAATGATTATTTTAAGTTTGAATGAGATTTGATGCTACAGTTCAGAAATTGACAGAATAATTAATATTGCTGATATTTTGTTAAACTAATATCAAACGGAAGGTCTTTAATCTATTAATTATTTATTTATATGCATTTTAATTATTAACAGTAAAATTTTGGATTAGATGAAAACTAATTTATCTGATTTATTGCATATTCCAATTCTTTATTTTTGACTCTATCTAAATTTTCAATAAGTTTTGGGGAATATGCGAAACATATTGAAAGGTAGTAAAATATTTATAACTCAAATAGATTTTAATGGAAAAACCAAGAATCTTTTTGAGGTTAAAACTGTGAATGGAATTCCTATAATAATTTAATAAATGAGAATTATTTCATCAAATAAATTTTTTGTTTTCTGTCTTAAAATTAAATATTGTGAGATGTTGGCTAAAAATCGTCAAGATGTAATATCTATTATATTGATTTAATTTGACAAAGTCTTTGAAAGGAATTATGATAAATTTAGTTACATTAAGTTAATAATATTTTTCTATTCTCTAAAGTAATTTTTAAATTTGAAAATGAAATTATTTGTAACTTCATAAAATCCTCATCCTCTGATTAAATTAAGTTGATAAATTTTTTTCTATTTATATCATTCCATTTCATTTTTGTAATTTTTAAGTATTTTCCAACTTCACAATAATCTTTAGTGTTTTTTTTAAATAAAACTTTTTTATCTTTGTTCAATAAATGTAATTAAGTTTTGTAAAAATTAAATACTTCCTTATTTGCACCATCTAATGCTATGAATTCTTTGTAATGATTTTAGTATTATTCATTTTTAGAATCAAAATAAATTATTAATAATAAAAATTGATAATAGAGTAATTACGAGTAATAAAGCTAATTCTCAACTTTTAATAATTCATTCTGAGAATCTTAACCATAATTGTCTAATGTTTCATCATCTAAAGGAGATGTTTATTCAAAGTTTATCAAAGCTGTACTATAATCTAAAGGTATATCTAATAATTATGGACTAGGTTCACGAAAAACTAACGTTTTTTAACTTTGAATTACATCTTTGAATTGAATCTCAGCAAGAATAAAATTTTAATTAAAGTAAGTTTAAATAGCTTTTAGTACTTAAAATTAGTTCATGTATCGCTAAATTTGAGTTTAGTATTAAACTATTATTGATATATAATCTTGATTTTTTCTTAAGGTATTTATTAAATTTAATCTATCAAAAGAACTTATAGATGATCCCTAATCATTACTCTATTTTAATTTTCTTTTTAATATGATACTTTATTCTATGTCTGATAGATTTTCTAATTTGATATTCAAGCTTAATTATCGAAAAATAACTCTGAGTTGAATGCTACATCTCTTTAACCCTTCTATCAATTTACAATTTTCTAAATCAATTTCCTATCTTAAAGCAAACAAAGTAGAAATCTTAAAATAATACAGCAATAAGATATCTAGAATTTTTTTGATTTCATTTGATTATAAAATGTAAGAATGAAGATTCTTTGAAAAATAATTGATAAAACAGACAAGCAGATTAGATTCAATTGTAAACATATTTATTTTGATATAATTTTCAACCTCATTAATTAGATCTAATGTTTTATTAAATTATTTAATTCGAAAATGAAAATTTATTTAATGCTTCATGAATTCCATATATTATTGATATGTAAATTCTTATTTTAATTAACTCTTATTTGTTTTTTCAGATAATAATTATTTGTTAGAAGGAAATTGATTTGCTTTTTTTATCAAACTTTAATAGTCAAGTTCTAAAAATGGTTATTGGACAGAAATCATTTCTATTATTTAAGTAGGAGATCTATCACATGAAATCATTTCTGATAATAAATATTTCAATGGATGTTTGAGATTTGTTATAGCATCACATAAATCATCAATAGGTTAAAGTAATATCATCTCAGCAATCATTTAAACTAACTATTAAATAGAATTTTTTTCTTGACAAACAGAGTTAAGCACCATATATTCATTTGATACTAGAATATAATTATAAATAGAAATGTTAGTTATTTTATTCTTCTATAATAAAATTAAATTTGAATACAAAAACTACTTTAATTCTTCAATTGTATATTAGAGAGAGTGTTTTTTTCTAAACGAAATTACTTAGTATAAGCTTTTCGAATTTTAACACGAGTATAAGGAAACACAGTATCCTTTTATTAAAAAATCATCAATTTAATCAACAATATTTAATAGTCGAATATAATTCTTGCTTTACCCTAAAAATAGTCCTTATCCATTATTGTAAAATTTTTAAAATTATAAGCATTAACCATGTCTAACTTAAAAAAATTGCATTAAATATTCTTTTTCATCAATTAATACCTACCATAAAATATCATGAATATGTTTTTAAATTTTAATATTAGGGATCTGATTCATTTCATCAACAAAATATTATAATGAATATTCCTCCAATTTTTTAGAATATTGTTCAAAAATATAAGTATCTTTAGATTTATCAATTACATTTCTATATATATCTGATTTTAGATTTTAAAGGTGATAAAGTTTATTGTTTAATCTTCCATTTGTAGATTAAAATATATAGGATGATTTTTGCCTAAATAAATATCAATAATTGTTACTCGTATTCTAATTAATCAAATAAGTCAATGAACATGTCTAAAGTGTATTAATTGATAGATGAATATTGGACTAAAGCACTAAACTTTTTGTGAATATCAGATTCGAATTAAACAGAACTTAATTTTTTATTAGCCTCATATTATAAGAGTGCAATTTAAAGTGATGACTGGCGAATAGTTTATTTACGAAATCCTTTAAAGAAAAGACATCTATAACGAAAAATTTAGACTTTTCGACAATTCAGCCAAGATTTCTTTGTTATGAATTATGCTTTTTTTAATAGAATAGCTGCCTATTCATTTTTCTCATCTTAGGTAAGCTATGTCCCAAATTATCTAAGTTATTTCTTAAATTTAAAGTAAGCCTTATCTGTATAAAATTCATTTTATGTTTCAAAACTCTATTTCAGAATTTTATACCTTTTATAATCTAAATTATGTAAAATTTTTTATTTTCTTTAAATAAAGGATTGACTTAAATGAATTCTAAAGTCACTCCACAACATAGTATAATTTGATAATAACTACAATCTAAATAAAAATCTCCAAATTTTTGTTCTATCTTATAATTGTTTCTTTCCATCTTATCTACATGATGAAACCTAAAAAGCCCAATTACAAGCCCTTTTTGAGAAATACTCATGTAAAAATTAATAATTTAAATTCTTAACATTTATAATTTTTTTTCTCTATTCAATTTATTTATTTTATTATTTTTGAAAAAAAAGGGCTTCTGGTTTTTAATCATCCTTTTATTAAAATAATACTGATCCATTCTAGTAATCAATAGATTCTTAAAATGTTTTTAAACCTGCATTAGATGCGAAAAGTTACTTCTAAGGATCATTGTTTTAGGGAAACTCAAGTAACTTTTATTATATCTACTCTTCTTTAATCACAAGTCTCTTTGATATTCTTTCTATATTTTTAGAGTAGAAATGCAAGATATCTTCATCAGAACTAATGGTCTCAAAATTAAAAGTGAATTAAATCTCTTTTGCACCAAAAGTTTTATATATAGGGTTTCGTTATAATTATTCTTTATGTTGTTTCTCTTTGCTAGTCTTATTCATTAAAATTTGAATATTACTCTTGTAAATATATTTTCCTCTTTAAATAATTTATTCCAATATTCTAGGAGTGTTTCCAAAAATAGCTAATGTTATACATTTTATTAAAAAGTGATAAAAAAGTAACGATAAATATAATAGAATGATATCATCTAAAAATCTACTATTATAAAATATGCTAGTAATTCCTGAATTGCATAAGATACCAACTAAATTTATTAATTAATTTAAGTCATTCCATACACCTAAAGAACCTTCATTTTTTGGCCAAGGTCTTTATAATTAAAAACATAATCTAAGTTTTAAAATTTACACTTATAATATCATCCATATCCAAAACAATGTAATACTAAGAGGAAATACACAACCAAACAGATTTATAAGAGTTGAAAGTAAGAAAAATTCCATATATTCTTCAATAATACCATCTTTTTCTGAAATTATCTGAAATGGGATTTTAGAATTTTAGTTCTCAATATGTTAAAGTAAACTCTAGACATTTTAGATTTACTCTTTTATAACAAATTATTCTTTCAATTAAAAATATAATCTTGAATATTTAATAACTTGTAATATGAATATCCAGCAGATTGTTGTAGCAAAAAAATATTAAATTTCATTCTAACAATTTTCTTATTAACAATAAAGATTAAAAGGGGAATTAAGAAATGAAATAATTAATAAAGGAAATAATCCTGAAAGACTATATAAAGTGTATTTTTTTATTGTGTAGCTTGTTTCATATTAATTTGAAATTTGGAAGTTCTCAAAATCAGTCAAAAATGTGGCTATTTGTTCATAATATTTTTCAATCAGTTTCTGAATGCCAAAATTTAATGAGGCAGATATTATAATATCAAGATTATAGAATTTATTTACGATTTCATTAAATTTGGCTTTCAGAAATAGATTAAAAAAATAAATACCAATTATTACCCCAAAATCTGAACCTATCAAAAGGACCAAAATAAATATAGAAATAACTAACTTTGACATAATTTAAGCCTGGGATGCTCTTAATGAATTTAATTCATCATTTTCAACAGAACGAAGATACTAACCTTTAAATGACATAAGAATTAACTTCTCTGATGCTCTTTTATTAAATCCTTATCTTATATTAAATTAAATCTAAGCTGATTTCCAATAATCGGTAACAAATGAATTCCACAAAACAATCAATAATGAGAATATTGAAATAATTGCTATATAACTTTATTTATCTAATTCTTTTAAAGTTATCAAAGCAATAGTAAATATAAAACTTAAACAAGCTAAAACTGAATAGCAAAAGATTTAATGTGATGCGAATTCAAGAAACAATCCAATTTTTTCACCAAAATAAGAGCAAATTCTTTCTTTGGGTAATACCCATGGTTACTTATAATTGAATTTCCAATCACCAACTAAATCGAAAGGTCTATTTTTTAAAAATAGATTCTATTCACTTACAGCATTTTGAATATTATTACATTAACCATACAATTCGTAGAAATCATGTAAACAGAAAACTTTATTTATTAATTTCAACTTTATCAATGTATTCAAACTAATAGATGATTGAATAACTGAATTTGCTAATTTTAATCTCTCATTACTTGGAAATAAAGTAATATGATTTTTTTCATTTTTTATATATCTACACCATCTTAATTATTATCTTTCAATATTCTTTATGGAAGAATCCTTTTTATGAATTTTGAATGGAACATATAAATCAAAGGGAGTTATATTGTATCTCTCCCAAACTGTCTTTAAAATATGATTTTAACAATTTGCTACTTTTAAAGATTCATTAAAAATTTTTAAATAATTATGTGCTAATTATTATTTCAAATATAATTTTATTTTCTTTATTTATGGCAATTTAGAAGATATTACTAAACTATTTGATTAAATGATGAGCTAACTTACTTTTTCATGTAAATCTATAATATGTTTTTATTCTTCTTCATTAAATTCAGCAAAACTTTTCTACTTCTAATGAGTTCTAATTGCAAAAAGCTATTCGACTGTTTTTTAATTGTCAACAATCAAAGCTATGTCACTTTTAAGTTAAAATTCTTTTCTACAGAGATGAATATGTTTATTTAAATGCACTAAATATTTGTAATAAACTGTCCATTCTTCATCATTGGGACCATCTTAATCCCCGTGAATGTCTGATTTTCCATATTAAAATAATTCTATATTTAAACCAGTCTGTCCAACTTCACGTGCAACTTTCTTAAAATTAATCTACTATATTTATTCAATGATTAAGGGTCTCAAATATTTCAAATAAGGAGATATTTGATAATCCTGAGGTCTCCATAATCTTCCACTTAATCTTAATGGACGGTACTATCTATCAACTGGCTCTAAGGACAGTAAATCATAAAAGCAATAGCTAATTTTTTTTGGTAGTTAACAATTTTCTGCAGCTGTCTCAAGCATTTTCTCTGACATATACAATAAGAGAAATATATTTTTTCCATCTTCTGATAATTGTTATTTTATTTGAAATCCTCTCCTAGTAAATTATATAATTAATATATTTCTAATTAATGTTAAAATATCTTATGTTTCTTTATTAGTTCTATGCCAAACTTTACCGAATTATTTTAAATACTCTCCTTAGCTATATGCTTTTTTCTGTATGTATTATAACTTTTAATAATCCACTTAAAAATATTCACTGATATTATTTAAGTTTCCTTAATTTTACATTATGTTGTCATTTAGTTGTTGTTTAAATTAAGTCACTAATTTTTAAATTATGTCCATTTGCTATTCTTTTTGATAATCCTATGTCTAAAATCTAATTTACAAATTATTTTCCATTAAATATGAAGATTTAGGACTTTGATTAGATTTTTGAAACAAATCCTATGCTGAACCTAATTAAAAAAGAGCATTTCTTTATTCATTAGCTTAAGTTTCAAGTCTTCTTGTTCGTATATCATAAATTGAATAAGATTTATGATCTGATAATTATAAAAACACATATTCTATTGCTTTTAAAAATAATTTGTCATTATTTGATTGTTCATCTATTGATAATGATTATATGATTTATTCAAAAATTTCTAATTGATTTAATTGAAATTCTTCATCATCTTAAACAAAATCAGGGTTATGAAGACTTTTATATAATTTTATATATTAAGTACCTAATAATTGCTGCAGGTTATTCCAAATCTAAAGAATTATTATTTTCAGATTAATCAATATTTTAATTGTCATATAATCGCTCCTCTTCTTCTATTCTTATTTCTTAACCAAAAAGCAATTTCAGATATATTTCAAAAATTTGAATAAAAGACTCAATTTGTTCTAACTTTTTTGTTTAATTAATTCTAGTAGTTGGCTAAGATTATTATAATTAAAAAAGGTTTGACGAAAGTTTTGAAGTGTTAATCTAAATAAAACTTTATTAGCTTTTTCTACTACTCATAAATTAAAATATAAAATCAATAAATTGTTAGTATATTATTATTTAGAATTTGATTTTCTACATCTAATTATTTTTAATAACATTCTATTTGAAATTTCTTCAAATATCTCATCCAGATTAAAATTCAACTATTAAGTGTTTTTACTACAGAATTTACTTTACTAAATTTCTGTGTTTAGAAAATTTAGGGAATTGAAAACTAAACTACCAAGATAATAATTTACTAAACCTTTATTTTTAAATGTAATTTAGAAATAGTATTTTTGTTTTGAGATATTCTTTTTTTTAACTCTTTATTTAGAGACAAATTATAAGTATTATTAATCAATGCTATTTTCTATTATCAAAAATTTCATATATAGATTATACTAAATATACTTAATGGATTCAGTCATATTAAATAAAGTAGAATAGACAAAATCATAATCAAATAAAAATAAATACTTATTGAGAGATTAATAAGAATTTGGATATTATATAAAAAATATTAATCAAAGTCATTTTTATATTTTTTATTGTAATGATAAAACCTTTATTAAAAAATAGTTGATATTTTTATATTTTTGTTCAGTGAATTTCTTATTCAAAAAGTACATAATTATAATGATTTTATATTATTATATCAAAAAATTATTAGTTTAATAAGGTAAATTTACTTGTATAGAATAATAATATATATATAATTAATTAACAAACTTTTGGCTTTTTTGATTATAATTTTATAAATAATTTATTTTTATTAAAATACTCTCAGAACTTAGTTGTTTCGTCTTCTAATTCTGGATCGTCGTCTAATGGCTTAATTTTCTAGAGTCCCAATCTATTTAATTATTTTTCTGATTTAACAACATAACTCTTAGTGAAATCAGCTTTTTCAATAGTTTTTCTATAAGGGATTGGCATATATTTTCTGTATCTCTACATCAATCGTTTTCTTCTTCTATTCAATTTATCATATTCATGTTAAGTCATATTTAGTTTAATTTTCTAAGGTCTTTCAGCAAAAGGAGTGAATATTAAGTCGTTATCCAATTCACTGGGATCCATAATTTGTTACTTAATGTCACCAAGATCCTATTTAACTATGAATAAACTAATAATATACTCTACTCCTAAGAAACAGGTTTGCTGGTGAAAACAAGAGTTCTATCATCACCTTCTTTCATATCTTATAAAATGCTTCCTCTATATTCAAAATCAGTATGATGTGGTAATATTTAGGGTAAAACATCATCAAAAGTATGGAATCTACCTCTAAATAAATGAATATGATCAAGTTTATCCATTCTATAAACAGTCTTTGGTAGCATTTTGGAAACAGTCCAAGCAACCTAAATTGATAGAATAAATTACCAATTATTCAGGTTTTTGGAGGATTAGATCTCTGAATTTGATTTATTTTAAATTTCCAACATAACCTGTATGATAAGTGAGGACTTTATAATTGATTTTTTTTCCTGTCAAATACATATTGCAACCATTAACAATAATAAATTTATCTGTAACTTTACCAGGTTCATTATTTCGAAAGGTTGGTTTATGTTTTCCACTTAGATAGTAAGCAATTTTTGAACACATTTTACCATATGGGAATCTTGATGCATCAAATAAGTGATAAGTGATTCCACCTTTATGGACAGCAACATAAGTAGTACCTGGATAAAAATTTTTAGTATGTCTTTCATCTATTTGATTTGAAATAGGTTGTTACCTAGAGCTTGTCTGAATTCATATTCACGGGGTTTCACAAGTTCATACTTCTCATATGGGTCTTTAGGATCAAGTTTAGGTCTTTTGGGCATTGGAATGTCTTTTACATAAGGCTATTCTTTATGCTTGAATTTAGGAATGGCTAATGAAAATCTAGCCACTAGACACCTCTTAAATAATTACATAAATAATAATTAATGTATTAAGCATAATTACATGGGATGAAGTTGGCTATGGCTCCTTATCGTCGTAGAAGTTCAAAAAGTCTTTAGGAAGTACCTTCTAATGCAGAATTTGAAAGATAATAATCAAATGGTAGTCTTCGTATTGATCCTGGTCCAATTAACATTGAAGTAAGAGAAAATAATACCAAAGTAAAAATTTTTTAATTATAGGTCGTAGATTGGATTGTGTTAATAACTCCTATATGTTATACATTTGTGATTCTATTCTTAATCTCATGGATTTATATAACTACTCCATAAATAAGATATCCTTATATAGCACACAACATTTTATAAAAGGCTCATAAGATTCAAACTATGTATCCGATAGTTGATATTATTGAGTTTTCTCAATTTTCATATCACATTAGAGGATGTCCTCCTGATTTTGAAGAAGCAACTTTGGGAATTTGGGAGGGAATTGAGAATGGCAATGTATGTGATAGATCAAATAAGAATTGTGAATTAGTTTAGAGTATGGAACCATAAAGATTAAAATTATGGAAATAAAAAATTTATTGCATAAAATACGACAAAACAGCGTAATGGCGAAATGGAAATTAATGTCAGAAACAATATAAAGAATGCAGTTCTTATATATGTGTCAAGCAATAATTATAATGTCCAATTACTGATTTATAAACAATACATCAGTAAGGGGATATTTAATTCGGTAAAAACTAGTACAAAATAGTTAGAGATGAGAGGTAAACACCTTTATTATTTTTTAATATTTCTTCATCTTCAACTTGTTTAAATTAAAATAATTAACCTTAATTTAAATCAAAAGAATATTATCCTTTATCTAGATATCCAGAATCTGGTTGTGATGAATTAGGTGATTACACTAGCATAACCAATATATTAGATTCTGGAACAGTTATGGAAATATTGAAAGAAAATGATATCCCATTAGGATAACTTCCTCATTTTGATGAATATATTTAAAATACGGATGAGTACTAATTGTAAATTTTAAGAGGTATCAAATTAAATGAAATTAATGAATGCAACAAATTGAATACAGAAATATTTAATAATTCAAGCAAGAAGAGTTTTAGAATCACAAGGATTATGAGAAGAAATAATCTTCCTTTAATTACAGGATGTATTATTCTAATTATATTTTCAATCTTAACAATTAAATTTCATAATAATGTAATTGAATTACTTATATCATTAGAAATACTTGACATTCATAAATAAGAGAATTACAATGATAGTTAATATAGGAGCTATAATAATAATGATTGTAACATTGATTTACTCATCATTCTTTTTATATGATGTCTTAGCATCAGTAAATATTTGATTTATATTTAGAATGGGCTTAAACAAATAAATGATAACTTAGATGTTTTTATATCAAATCAATGTATTAACATAAAGGGAATATTAATTGCATTAGATTAGATACATTAGTATTCCTTCAAAATATACAATTCTAATTTAAGTTTTATCTATGCTGCATTTATAGGATCAATCATTTATTTAATAGTTCAATCCCTCTTATATATTATTTAATATATTTCAAGTAATACCCAAGTAATATGTCAAAATCCATGGAGTAGTAGAATTAATTATGAAATTAGATATTGAAATAAATATAAATATTTTTGAAACATATTTTTTTATGATTTTTTTTTTTTGAGAAGAAGAAAACAATTTTTTTTTGTATTTTTTTTGTATTTTTTTTATTTGTAATAATATACAATGGTGGCTATGAAAATATCTCATTTGCCACCACGATAAGCACCTCTTCCTCTTATTGGTTCTGCATACAAATATCTTCCTCTTGTAATATATTAAAAAGCTAATTAATAGTAATTTTTAAATACGCTATCCTCTTCCACCTCGATTTCCTCTTCCTCTATTTCTTAAATTTGTTCTTTTTTAAAACACCTATTTTATAGAAAAGTATGAATACCAGTATTTTCTTTCCTCTGATGATACCTTCACTTAATACTAAAGCATCCTCAACTGAACTTTATTCTTGAAATTGAATATATGAATAAAGAGTGCCAGTATTCTTATCACTTCTTAAGGTCACCTAACATAAATATATTTATTTTACTTTCACAATATTTCCACAATCCTTGAAATATTCTTTAAGATCATCTTCTGTTGTGTTTTCATCTAAATTTCTCACGAAAATTGATGTTAAATCAATATCTTTAAGTTAATGTTTATTGTCAGTGCCTAATTAGATTATATTTATAAGACTTACCTCCTTTCTTTTATCCCTCATCTTCTTTTTATTGATCAACAGGCTCTTATACTTCTAAATCATCTTCGTGATTACTCATTATTTAAATCTTTAATTAATTAAATGTCTTATATCAAATGAATAGGAATTGACAATTAAGAGATCTAATTTAAAGAAACTAAAAACAGTGTGCATTTTAGCTCACTAACATAAGCATAGAAATTAAATTACACTGCATTGTAAAATATGAAAGAAGATAAAAATTAAAGTTAATACCATTCATCCTTAAGTATTTTCAATTGTAGGTAAGCCCATAGTATTTATGGTACTTAATCAAAAAGGAGTTTTATTTATTAAGGCAAATTGGTGTTAAGAGAAGGGATCATGATAAATATAAGATCCTAATATAGTCCTACAAAGATGATGACAATTTACCTGAATCATTATATGGTAGAATCAAATTTAATAATTTAACCATCAAGGTTTTGGGATGTAAAAAATTGAATCCTCTTATATCAAATCTAATAATGTAATCGAAAGAGAAAAAAGTTAAATTTTTAGTATGTATCAATATAAGAGTTAGATCAATAATATAAATAAACCAATTGATACATAGCCATAATAAAAATTTGGTTATGAGCAATACTTAATATTGATTGATGAGTAAGAGAAGGACTTATTCAAATTAAGTGAATTGAAAAANTTTTTTATGATTTTTTTTTTTTGAGAAGAAGAAAACAATTTTTTTTTGTATTTTTTTTGTATTTTTTTTATTTGTAATAATATACAATGGTGGCTATGAAAATATCTCATTTGCCACCACGATAAGCACCTCTTCCTCTTATTGGTTCTGCATACAAATATCTTCCTCTTGTAATATATTAAAAAGCTAATTAATAGTAATTTTTAAATACGCTATCCTCTTCCACCTCGATTTCCTCTTCCTCTATTTCTTAAATTTGTTCTTTTTTAAAACACCTATTTTATAGAAAAGTATGAATACCAGTATTTTCTTTCCTCTGATGATACCTTCACTTAATACTAAAGCATCCTCAACTGAACTTTATTCTTGAAATTGAATATATGAATAAAGAGTGCCAGTATTCTTATCACTTCTTAAGGTCACCTAACATAAATATATTTATTTTACTTTCACAATATTTCCACAATCCTTGAAATATTCTTTAAGATCATCTTCTGTTGTGTTTTCATCTAAATTTCTCACGAAAATTGATGTTAAATCAATATCTTTAAGTTAATGTTTATTGTCAGTGCCTAATTAGATTATATTTATAAGACTTACCTCCTTTCTTTTATCCCTCATCTTCTTTTTATTGATCAACAGGCTCTTATACTTCTAAATCATCTTCGTGATTACTCATTATTTAAATCTTTAATTAATTAAATGTCTTATATCAAATGAATAGGAATTGACAATTAAGAGATCTAATTTAAAGAAACTAAAAACAGTGTGCATTTTAGCTCACTAACATAAGCATAGAAATTAAATTACACTGCATTGTAAAATATGAAAGAAGATAAAAATTAAAGTTAATACCATTCATCCTTAAGTATTTTCAATTGTAGGTAAGCCCATAGTATTTATGGTACTTAATCAAAAAGGAGTTTTATTTATTAAGGCAAATTGGTGTTAAGAGAAGGGATCATGATAAATATAAGATCCTAATATAGTCCTACAAAGATGATGACAATTTACCTGAATCATTATATGGTAGAATCAAATTTAATAATTTAACCATCAAGGTTTTGGGATGTAAAAAATTGAATCCTCTTATATCAAATCTAATAATGTAATCGAAAGAGAAAAAAGTTAAATTTTTAGTATGTATCAATATAAGAGTTAGATCAATAATATAAATAAACCAATTGATACATAGCCATAATAAAAATTTGGTTATGAGCAATACTTAATATTGATTGATGAGTAAGAGAAGGACTTATTCAAATTAAGTGAATTGAAAAATTAATACTCAAGATAAAAATGAAAAATAATTACTAATTGTGAAATAAAAAAAACCCAAGGCATAGAATACTTAACTTATTGGCTATGATATTATAGTTGTTATTTTGAGCTTTATGATTGGAATGCTTGCTAAAACATGAATAATAATTAATTTATTTTTGAATAATTTTATTGTGAAGTAATATTTGTTGTTGTAATTTTGAAAATGCTTTCAGATATCAAACAATTCGAGCAAGAACACAAAGAAGAAATGAAACTTCTTTAATAGAAGTATGAGTAAAAGGTATTCAATTAATACTATTACCACAAGATAGACCTTTTATCACAAAAAATTGAAATCTTATAAAAAGAGTTAGAAGTCAAAGACAATATATTTTCAGATCTTAAAAATAGATCAATTCAAAATAATGAGGAGGTTAAAATATAAAAAACTGAATAAGATGCAGATGTTGTTTAGGATTTTGGAGCCACTATTTAAAAATTTCATAAACAAAAAGAAAAAGAATTAATGAAAATTAAAAAGAATTATTAAAAGGAATTAATTCATAATCAGAAGCTATTAAGAAAAAAAGATGCTACTATAGAGTAACTTTAATAAGAAATTTCGCAATACAAATAAGCAGCATCTCAAAATATGGATAATTAGAAAATTTTGCTGCTCTCAAAATTAATTGATTTAGCAAATGAAATTAATAAATAACTCTGATAAACATTAATTAGTATCTAATCATTAAGACAAATGTGCAAAAATAATTTAAAAGTATTTTCTTTCTTTTAATTTTTATTAACGATATTTATTAATCACTTTAATTTATAATTCTAATTTATTAAGAGAAAAAATGTATCTGAAATAAAAAGATTTTATTTTTTCTATAAATCGAGTTTTGAATTCAACTTTAAAAATGAGAAATAAATAATCAAATGAATAGAAGAAAGAATTAACAAAACAACAATGAATATGATAAGATTTAAGAAATAAAAAAGAGGATTTGTAAGACTTAGACATAATATCCTTTGACTCTATGGCATCCTATGTATAAATTAAATATATTATATAATTCAGGTTCATGTACAATTTTTATTTCAATTTCAATTTTATTTGCTTGCCACCAGGTTTCTAATAAAAATACAAGTTGATTAAGTCTAGAAAAATTAAAAATTGGATTGATGATATTCCAATATTAGTTGGTGTTGATGACTTTGAATAGAAAGAGTAATTAATTATTCACTAATTTGTAGAACTTGTACAATTTGTCTTTCAGACTTAAACGAAAAAAATATTATCAAAATACTTAAATGTAATCACTTTTTCCATTAAGAATGTATAAAAGAATGGTTATAGCTCAAAGCAGAATGTCCCACTTGCAGAGATAAAATTCATAGATGATCAATTATCAATATTTTATAATATAATAACTAAACATTTTGATTCAAACTTCACAATAATTCAATTATATATTTTAATAAGAATCAAATATAAAATAAATTCAATTTTAATACAAATTATTCATTTATTAATGTCGAAAATTATCGTCATTAAAATATTTTGTAATCATGTAAGGGATAAATTATTAATAATTATTTATTAATTAAATTATATGAGTAACCATTCTTACATAATTAAACCTTAAGATTGTATTAATTTTAGACATATAATTGCTAAAAATAATCAGGAATATTTTTTTAAGGAATAACTAAACTAATCTTAAATTATGAAGATGCTTGAAATAATATTGTATTGTTATCCTTTAGTATTTATATTCTTTTCTTTTTTTTATAATTAAACACTTAATTTTTAGGATTATCATTTTAGTATAAAGTAAATAATTTTCAACTATCAGTTCAAATTTCCCTTTATTTAATTATTATATCCAAATTTCCTTAATAATATTATCTGTTTTGAGAATCTTGAAAGTAAAATCGAAGATGAATTTTCTGTTATTTAATTTCATGTATTTATTTAGATGTTGAATATCTTACAATTAAGGCGAATTGACAGTCTTCTACTTTAAAACAGAATTTATATAATCATAATTTAAAATTCTGTAGAAATTTAAATAGTTTCATTTTTTATAATTAATAAAACTACTAATCATTGAATTACTTCTTCCTATTCGAAAAGAACATGAACGCAGTGGCGATATTTTAGATTTGCTAATTGATTGGTCATTACCTTAAGTATGTTGGGAAATGTTTCTTTATAAATTCATTTATGATCCTAATGCTAATCGTATTGAATGTTGAAGTAACATTTATTTATGTCGATCCAACTTAATTAAATATTAAATCATGCCTATACAATTTGGATTTTTATTAGGATTAGATTTTCTATTTTAATCAATTAGTTTTTTAAGTACCACTTTTCTATGATTGCAACGAATATTAAGATCTATTTCTGGAGATATTTAAGTTTTCTAGATTTTTGTACTTTTATGGTTACCGGCTTCTAAATCTATACATTTGAGTTTTAAGAATAGGGAATCATCTACTATTTAAGTTTTTTCAATTTGAATACTCTTTTTCATAACTTCATTCTATATATCTTTATTTAAATGACTTTCAAATCTTTCTTAAAGCCAGTTTCGTTTCATTTCACATCTCTTATGAAAAATCTTGGCAAACCAATCATGAACAATGCAAATACGATAAATGTCAACCTTTTTGATAGCAAGAACACTTCCCTTGGCACTAACACATTAACAATTAAATGAATGATAAACTTTATTAAAACAATCGTGATTGAAATCTTCTTCACCTAATAATTATCCAGGCCCCAATTTTAATAAAATATATTCTTTATTTGAAAATTTTTTTGTCTGTTTAAAGAGTTCAAAAGTATTTTCATTAATTTAAATTGGATATCGAACCTATTGTTTTATTTGCTTTTAATCATGTCTTAATGTTTTCTTGAATCTATCATATTATGTTTCACTACCACAAATTTAGACTTCAAAATTGTTGTTCTGATTGCTATAAGAAACATAAAATTCCCCTTTTAAAATCAAATAAACAAAGTGAGATTGCATTTCAAAAGAATATAAAATTTGATGATTACATATTTTAGCTTTTTCTGAAGATTTTATTAGTTCTTGAAGAACCCTTTTAAAATCAGGATATTTTATTCCATCCTAAAATGCTCGACCCATTAAGTATAACATTTATTCATTTTTTCTTCTTTTAGAGGTTTCTATGATTTCTAAATATTATTTGACTTATAATTGTAAAAATTCACAGTTATCTAATGTAATGATGGAGCATTATGCATTTTTAGTAATAGATTCAATAAGAGTATCATTTTCATATATAATATGAGCACTTTGAAATCTAACAACATGTCCTTCAATAAGATGTGCCAATAAACCTAGCATCTTAAATGATGGAATTTTTAATTGATTTAACTAATCTTATAGGATCACTAGATTTTCTTTTGGATAATTTTCTTTCCCATTGAAATAGAGTGTTTAGGTTGTTGAATTTAAATAGAAATTTTATGGTAATCTCTGAATGCCTGGATAAATCATTTCTAAATCCTTGATTTCTTAAATAAGTTATTCTTGAGATTTTGGTATTAATTTAAGACATTTTCCTTTAACAAGAATAAGAAAGTAATCAATTTTGAGTCTGTATTTAAATACAAATCTGTCTTTTGGTAAATAATGAAGTTTGGCCTATTATGTAAAACTTTCTAGGATTGGTTCATAATCTTTTTCAGATATGATATTTTTTAAACTTTGAAAGTAGAGTAATTTGGACAAATAATCTTTATTGAACATATTTATATTAATAATATTCATATCAATCTAATATAGGTTTGGTATCTGGTTAAATTGGTAAGAACCAAATTAAAGGGTTTTTACCAAAAACTTCAAATATATTGTTCCAAACTCCTTTTTAAAGGGGTTCTCTTGGCTTATTCTCACAGTACTCAAGGGTTGTGATGTTGGATTTAATTGCCCTATCAATCTCAGTATTATTGATAAGAATACCACAGATGAAAGAGAGTGAAAGCCGTTAATAGAATCCAAAGGAAACAACAATATAAAAATGTAAAGGAAACTAGGAATAATTTGGCATCACTTGAATATGAATTCATTGTGTCATAATAGCAACGACTATAAGTAATCATTATAAAACTAATCAAAAACCCTAATTTTGGAGATTAATTATAATACATGCATAACCAAGTAAATTAATGAATAATTTGTAATTGCCATAACCTATACAATTATTCAACCATTAACAATGATGATCCATTTTCAACCAACATGTCTTACATTATCTACAATGATGACAACGTTTTGGTTTAAAAGCACTGCAATTTTTACAATGTCTTCTACCTTATTTATCAATTATTTCATTTTTCACTTTCACATTCAAATGTAGACGCTATTCATCATCTATTTCTGATGAAAATGAAGTTGATGTTTATGATCCTTTCTTATTATGGTTTATCATATTTTCTTCATTTTCAATCATCTAACGAATTTCATTCTCTATTTTATTTAACCATTCAACAGGTACATGACCTGGAATTGTAGTTACAACTCTGATTAATGTAATTGTGAATAATATTAGAATGGTATGTAATGTTATAGTAATTCCTATAGTTTTATTGCTGAAAACATAGTCATTGATGTGTACTAATTGAATCAAGTATGTATTTATTTCAACTAATGGTCTAGTAACATACTCTGATTTTATGAGTGGCATCAAATAAGTCTTGAACATGAATATGCACCACATACCTCCATATACACTACATAAAAGTAAAGCACTATTAGTACAAGAACTGCCAATGGAATCCATGTACCAATATATCGAAGCAATTGACCTTCTCTATAATATTTCATTTATAAAATAAAAACGTATTTCAATGCATTCAACATGTAATTATATAATCCAATCCATTAGAATAAAACAAATATGGATTTGAGGAAAACTTTAATGGCTCTAGTGTTAGTGTTTCAGAGGAGAGTTAGGATATCATTATAGTGGAACCACTTGATGAATAGAAACAAGCGT